GTGGGCTAAATGCTCATGGTTTTCTGAGCAGTATAATTTTACTGTTATAACCTGTGATAATATTACTGTTATAATAATAATAATGAGTTTCCCATTAATATCAGACTGAATTGGATTAGGTGGCAGTCTTTAGTTGTGTTGGTATCATGAGTGTCACTCAGATGAGAGCCTCGTTGCTGCAGGCACCATGCAAACACAGCTAGAGACATTTCCTGCTCCCTACGAGCACGTGCCCTCAGGACGCTGCACGGCAAAACCGAGAGCATTCTCAAATGGGACCTGAGCAATTTCTTTCACTACATTTCATTTGGTTGCTTCATCGGTTGCATAATTTCGCCTCTTTTGCCTCTCAAAGATAACAGCACATTCAAAATACTTCAATGAAAGGTGTTGAGTTGCATGCCTGGATCACTCGAACTTAGCTGGGAAATGCACCTTGTCACTTACTGATGAAGCAGACCTTGGAGTGAACTAGAAAACTCCAGCATGGAAATGTAATGAGGTTAAGTGTAAAGGAGCTCTGTTTGCAGAGCAGGATGGCAGCAGACAAAAATAATGAATCCTTAAATTACTTTCCTTGTTCCCACTTACCTCCTTGCAGAGGGATGCTGTTCCTGGTAGCTAAAAAGCATGCATCATTCCCATGCCCAAGAGCTGCATGTGGTTGCTAGATGGCAATGCAGTTTTTAGATAATTATGTTACTGTCCCAGAGGGCTGCAAATAATCTGTGCACAAGAGCTGCTCATTAACTGGTAGTCCATGAAGTTTCAGAGAGTATCTGTATGATGGAAGTCCTCCTACCTTGATCTTTCTCCAACTCATGCTTCTGAATTCTTAAAAATACTTAGGAGGAGATTTTAAGTGCACTAGTCAATGAAACTGCTTCTGGTATTATTTGACTTACACAACCAGTTGCCCTACAGTGTATTCAGGAGATGGAGAATTAATCAGCAGAGACAGCAGGTGTTACAAACCCCTGTTCTTTCTCTGGTACCTGCAGGGGCCATCTAAAGCCCTACAGAAGTATTTCATACCAAGATCCAGTGAATGATAGCATCTAACAGATGCTTCATTCTCTGAAAACCTTAGCTGAAGCAGACCAGAAACATCTGATACTTCTATTTGAACAGCAGATCAGAAAGTAGGAAGGTCAAAGAATCTCACCATGCTCATATGCCTGGTAGTTCCGAATCAAGAACAAAGTGGATCTTCTGAACACATTTTGCAGGACACACATTAGCACTCACCCAGTGTTATCCTGTAAAAAACCCAGAAAATAATCAAGAAGTGAAGTTGTGAGCCACATCCTGCCCACAACATGTTATCAAAATTCACTGTGAACAGTGAGTCTTCAAAGCAATGAAGACTAATACTTAAGGGGACAACCTTGCTCTAAAACAGTCAAGGGGGCATGTGGTTTTTCAGGGTGTGCTGGTTTTGGCTGGGATGGAGTTAATTTTCTTCACAGTAGGGGCTGTGTTTTGGATTTGTGCTGAAAACAGGGTTGATAATACAGAGATGTTTTCGTTGTTGCTGAGCAGTGCTTACACAGAGTCAAGGCCTTTTCAGCTTCTCACACCACCCCACCAGTGAGTAGCTGGGGGTGCACAAGAAGCTGGGAGGGGACACAGCTGGGACAGCTGACCCAAACTGGCCAACGGGATATTCCATACCATGCGACGTCATGCTCAGCATATAAAGCTGGGGGAAGAAGGAGGAAGGGGAGGGACATTCGGAGTGATGGCGTTTGTCTTCCCAAGTAACCGTTACGCGTGAGGGAACCCTGCTTTCCTGGAGATGGCTGAACACCTGCCTGCCCATGGGAAGTAGTGAATGAATTCCTTGTTTTGCTTTGCTTGCGTGCGCAGTTTTTGCTTTACCTATTAAACTGTCTTTATCTCAGCCCACGAGTTTTCTCACTTTTACCCTTCCAATTGTCTCCCCCATCCCACCCGGGAGGAGTGAGCGAGCGGCTGCGTGGTACTTAGTTGCCGGCTGGGGTTAAACCACGACACAGGGCAAAGGTCCTGTATATCCTAGTAGAACTCTGTGAACTCAAACTTCCCTGTCCAATTCAAAGATGTATATGCTTGATGACTGTCAATCTGACTTTGGCTTTTAAAATCAGGCTGAGGAATGCAACTGCATTTAAGGACTGAAATCCTGTCCTTCAGAACAAAGCAGAGATGTCTGGTAAAATCCCAAGATGCTGTAAAAAATAATTAGGTGGCAGTAGGACAATCAGATCGGCTCTGTGGCTGACTTAAAGTTTGGAAAATGGGAGAAAGGTTAGGATCTGTGGTCTGACTGACTTCCAAAATAAACTACATCAGCAGCTCATATTACATGAAATGTACATACAATATTAGGTTTCATACAGTTCCCTTATACCAAAAATACTATTTTCAGGAGTGATTATACATTTGGGAATATATATGGGGAAAATAAGACCATTATTGTGTAAAAAACAACCCCCCGACCTTTATTTTTCACAATACATTTCAAGTACATGCAGAACATATTTACATTTCTCTTTAAGGCAAACAGAAACTGGGTTCTTATTCCTGAGTTGCTTAGCACCAGTAGAAATAGCAAATAAAAACTTAGGAAATGTTGTCTCTCCCTTTGAAGCAGCAGCTGCCTCCCACACAAAATATTTCTACTTTCACCTTGAATTTCTTTTAATGAGCTATTTATACTAATAATCTCTATCACTGTTTGGAGCCATTTCTGCAGATTTCAATCTCTTAGCAGAAACATCTTGCAAAGGTGTGACAAACTTTCCGTGTTTGTTATTTTACCTTACAGACTGTTTGCCAACTAGACAGCACAGCAGTACTTCTGTCTTTGCTGGCACATGCATCAAGGTCTTCTCTTCAGTTATTTTAAGAGTTCTGTATTCTCCCAATATCTAGAAAAAACTAACATTATCTTCTTATGTCTTTCTCATGTGGGCTAGCTGCCTCTCCAATACTACATCTAGATTAAGAGAGGGAAACATTTACCTCAGCCAGTGGAGGTTTATAGGGCTTGACTTCGCTAAAGCGGGGGGAAGTGAAAATGCCCATTGAAGTGTTGGCATTTACAAAGAAAATGCAAACCAGTTTTTCAATGAAAAAACATGCTCCCTTGAAGTCTAACATTTGAGCCATTTGCATTATCTCAAGACTTTAGACATGTGCTAGAATTTAGGATGTTGAATTTCCATTTAAAATACAGAGGGAGCATTTTCCAAGAAGCTTGTGACATTATTCCATTGCCCTTGACTGGCTCTATCAAACCCACCAATTCCAATAGGCACTTTTCTCCCATGAATTTTAAGAGGACCACAGGGCCTGATCCTAAAAGAGAAAACATCTATTCAGTAAAAAATGAAGTTCCAGTTCCTATTTAACATAAAAGTGTAGTCCAAGCAGAAAGTCAACAGTGCAAAATGGGGTATGACTCTTAAGTGTGCCTTCCTCAGTGACCTGTAGTGTGGCAAAATGTTTTGTTTCAAATTACATTCTCTGCTTCTTTTGCATGCATTCCTGAAACTTTAGTTTTTAATGACTTGTCAAATACATCAGTAATTCAAGGTTTCTTTTACCATTTAGTCTCCCTAGGTGCCCATCTCAGCTAATCAATGCTTATCAATATTTTTAAACAAATGCTAATATTTACAGGTGTTTAACTAAAACATTCATTGAAAAAAAACAGAACAACTGTGCCTTGATTAAACTTCTGGTTTAAATTGGTTATTAAAGCGAAAAACCCTAAGTAATTTCTTAATTCTTTTTCAGTTATTACCTGCTAAGATCTAATGTCTTTCTTCACAACTGTTTCACTTAGTAGCAACACACAACAGCATATTGCACTGGGAATAATCCACATTCAAATAGTCAACTGTAAAGAGATTACCTTTAACAAGGACAAGCAATCTCACTGAGCAATTCTTCACCAAAGATTTGCCAATTTCTTTTTCCTACCTCTGAGAGATTATTACAAACTAAGCACCTAGGAAAACACAATAAATGAACCCAGACAGTAAGAGGAACTCAGGAAGTGTCTAACTAATATCTCATCAGGAAGCTGACTCTCCCTGGTAAGGCACCTCCCAACAGAAGGTCTGAGGGTCGTCCCCCCCAACTAAGATGAGTTCAAAAGGCTAAAAAAAGGAACAATTGTTATACTGCACCTGGCAACACCTCTATAGACTGTGAACAAAACAGCTTGCTGCAGGTATTCCCCATGAACAGCTGCAATGTAGCATTTTTATCCTCATTTTATTTTCTATAATGTGACCTGCGTGCAGCTTTATTTCTAAAATCAGCACCGCTGATTCTATAACCAGTACGTCCTCTGAGAAGATGTACTTTTTCAGTGATCATTCCAATACTAAGATGCTAGAGAGATTACAAAATTTTAGAAAGTCTTAAGAATTTCTCCCTGGAAATCCTCGATCCCTAGTCTATTACACAAAGAGACTGCACTGTATTCAGAGGAAAATATTGTACCCCTTGACAGTGATTGTTTATCTAGCGACTGTTCATCTAGTGTGTTTGTCAAATCTTGTCCTGCTACGCTGGTTACTTGGAAAAAATCTAGGACATCGATACTTCTCTGCTTCTTGCCTCTTGCCCAGATCTGTCAGAAATGGCTGAAGCTCAGGTTCTCCTCCACTCACATAGGACAGGGGACGTTGGCATTCATTCGGGCTGTGTCTCTGCTACCTGCTGCACTAGCTGAGGTAGCAGAAGCTGATTAGCCTCCCCAGGTATCTTACCGAGGTGCAATACTCCAGAGGAACTCACACGAATGCTTCTTGCATTCAAGACAGCTCAATGGCCTTGGAGAGTGGTCATGGCACACCTGTGACATGCTCTGTATCTCAGCTTGCTTAGGGTGGGAACTTGTACTCTTCTGATCTCTGATTTGAAGAATTAGTCCTACCTGCTCTTTCAAGGATGGCACCAGGTTATCACAGTCTGAATTCTTTTGTGCAGAAGGAAGAAGTTGTAGGCAAGAATAAGTTTCTGGACAGTTTTGAAATACTACTTCCAAAGGCACCAACTTCCACATGCAGAGTAAAAGATACTGCTCTTTCTTACAGTGCAGATGAAACAGATTACATCCAGTTTATTTATAAAAGTTTTATACACCTGAAATATCACAAACATTTACAACTTTCCTGCTTTCTTCTGAGTTCTGAAAAGACTAAGTCATACAATTACACTGCTGTCTCCTTTGACTCCGATGTCGGTGGTGGCTTGAAGTTTAGTATCTCTTTATATGTAATGCCTGGAAAACAACAGAATAAACACAGTGTTGCTGGTCTAATCAGAAAAGGAGCTGCACAGACACAAGCAAGGTGCAACCCCCAGCATGGTTAGGCTCTGATCTAGGTCAGGGAGAGAGAGACCTCTTCAGGCAAAAAAGAGAGAAAGAGTACAAAAAGTAAGGGAATCAAGGATCGTTTTTTCACCATTTCAGATTTGAAGAAGTAGCCCAATACTGAAATGTTATAGGTGCTTTCAAAGGGATGCAAGCATTGACTTTACAGTATAAGAGGCAATATCCTCAGAAAGAGCTACTGAGCATATCAGCTTTAAAAGTCAAGTCCTCTCTTAAAAGCCAAAATACAAATCTCTGACGTGAGATGAAAGCTAGATTCAGACTTAAATCTCTGCTGAGATAGGTACGTTTTCTCTCCCTGAAAGAACCTAACTTAAAATTAAGGCCAGCAACCATTGCAGTCCTATAGAGCCAACAGTTGAGGAATCCATTTGCCTGTCCTATCCACTGGAAGGAACATATTACAGAAATGGTTTCTTTCCTATGTTGCGGAAGATGGGAGGACAGACACGCAAAGGAGGAGGAGAAGGAGAAGGAGGAGAGCCTGTGTTAGGAGGCAGAGAAGAAACCTTTGGGGATCATTCCAGGAGGACTCAATAAGATGAACACTAGCTTATCGATAACGTTTTTCTATCTTAATGCTGTCTACTTACTCCATTCCATCAAAAGCAGAGAAAGTAATCTGTAAAGGGGAATATTCCTGTTTCTGGATGGCCTTTCTATCTGGTCATTTTTTAAAACATCACAAAACTAAACTCACACTTCCACTCATCTAGCGGAAGATCCATGTTATCAAATGTGTCGTCATATTTCTCAGCTTCAATTTCTTCCTCAGGATCGTGAATTGGTTCAAAGTAAGGATGCATCAAAGCCTCAGCTGCCGTGACTCGCTTCTCTGCATCCAGCACCAGCATCTTCTCCAAAAGGTTTACAGCTATTGAACGGAAAACAAACAGTGCATTCAAATCACACCACTGATTCCAGCTTGTACACAGTAATGTTGCCCTGGAGATATTTCAAATAAATACACGGAGTTATAAAGCAGAATCATTGGGAGTTCATTCTATGGCCAGTGGGGCCCATCTGCATGACAAAATAGTGTTGTGAGCAAGCTAGGATGTCTACAAAGCCTGATGCAACGCAGAGATGCTCCCTTGCTTCTGTAAGCAATACAGCCACATCACCTCAGCTAATGACTTCTCTGCTCCAAGGACCACTGTGCTTGGGGCTTTCCCAGGTGTCTTTTATCACTGCCACCACTGTGTTGTGGTTCTAAGGTACATCACGACCTGACAGCAGCAGAATGAACAGGTGGGTGTAGAGCTAATGAGAATTGCTCTGTGTGCGTGACCAAATCCAAGCCCAAGTACACTTTGAAGTTCACTACGACAAGTCAGTTGTCCACGCTCAGAATATCAGCACTGTCTTTATCTGCTATGTGGTTTTGACCTCAGCCAAAACAATCCACGAAAATCTTGTATGTTCCTCTCCAGTGGATTTTGGATCAGGTCCACTGTTAGACTGTCAAAATGGGCTAGTGTAAACAGATATGATGAATGAAGTGTTTATCCTCTGTTTTTCTATCCTGAAAGAACGTTCCTGGGTTGGGTGGAGCAGCTGAAAGGAAGAAGAGGCAACAGTGTGGGACAGGATGCTGCAACTCCTGCTTGCCACATTGTGGATTGTCTCCAACCTTCCCTTCCAGATCATAAGCAGTTGCGCTCTACATAAGGAGCAGCCAGATGGCCACAGAGGTGATAGCAAGAAACGTACTAAAAACTAAATGGAAATGTGTAGTTTGCTGTAGCTGAGGTCAGTGAGCTAACCATGCAGTCAGGGTAAGAGCTGCTTATTAATCACATGTATTTCTACTGTATCTGAACATATAATTTTAACTTCTTAAATTAAGAAGATTCAATCATCCTAATTGATATTCTAATAAAACTGGCCTTGTGAATGTTCAGGTCATTGGGGAATGGACAATGGTTTGGGCAGAGCCACCTCAGAGCTCTGGCCGCGTTGGGTCACGTCACAGTTATGCACACTTGGTATGCTCTTCTGGCTGTTTATATCTATCAAATCCAAGCCAGTGCTTCTCAGGAATGCACAGATGTTTCTCAGGATGTATTCATTCCATGACTAAAATGTCAGCTTTCTATTTGCTTGCATTTCTACTGTAGATCAGATTGAGCTTTCAGAATTATATTTCAAATACAATACACAGAAAAATTTATAACATATGTTTAATTTCCCAGGGATCTTGAGAAAGCCGCTCCAGTAAAACCATTAAGCAGATGCTGGATTGGAGCCTGAAACACAAAATACTTCTTTTTTGACTCTTCTAAGAAACATCTGATTCCTGGCAGGGTCTAAACTTGGCAAAGTTCAGCCACTACAATCAAAGTTATGAATTATGGAAAGCAAGAGATAGAAAAGCACGAGAGCCATCACATAACCTGTCTGATACTGCTGCTGCCTCCAATGCGAACACAAGAACAAGACACAAACTGTCTTACCCAAAGGATTTGCATACTTCAAGATGGATGCAAAATCTTTTTTCTGGACTTTTGGGAGGCTTTTGATATAGTTTTTTGCCTTAAAAGAAACATGAATATTAAATTAGACTTTTGCTGCCTTTGTAATGTGACAACATTAACTATATGCTTAATAGGTAACTCACTGATGCTTTGATAGCACATTGTACAAATGGAGGGTTTTTTGGGTCATAAACCCTGATTATATTAACTTTCTTGTTGAAAGGAACTTTTTTTTTTTAAATCAAGCCTTAAAACTGTGATTAAGAAATTATAATGTAAAGCTTTAATTATTAGTTCTCCGTACTTAATATATTAATTAGAATAAATATGTATGCATCATTTGAAAGGATGTCATAGTGAGTTTACAGGAATCTCTAGAAGTGAACCTTATACAGTAATTCATTAGTATTTAAATGGTATAGTTAGTCTAATGATTAATTTTAGTTTTTTTACAGTAGGGGCTTAAGGATTCTAGAAGGACATCCACACAAGAATAGGAAAGACAAAGTCAGCGACATCTGCATAACAACTGGGTTTTTTTAATAGGTTCATGTTTTCAGTACGTTTCCAATAAAGGTAGTAATGCATCAGCTCAACTGTTTATATGGTACACACTGGAAACTTTGAAGTATTTAAATGCATAGATTTTTCAAGTGTCCTGATCATTTTCTGTGCCCCCTTAATCTCCAGTAGCTATTCTGGGTGTGCAAAGCTCTTCAAGGCAGAGATGTACCATCAGGGGTCATTTCAGTAGTCAATACGTATTATCTCAGCCAGCCTAAGAACTGAGCATGGCTTAAGTAAAATTAAGACATGTAAAATCAACTGACAAAGCAGAATACTCACATCTTGACTCTGCAGCTTTTGAACAAAATCTTGAGTTGGTGTACCTGTTATTTTCATTATTTCTGTGAGTTGGTCCAGATCTGAATACCAGAAATAAGGAACAAAGTCTTTCACCATAAAACTAAACACCTTGCAAAAATTGTGAGTTTCTTCGCTATTAGAAAGTAAAGCAAAAATCACAGTGCAATGAGTGAACAGAAGATTTATAAAAGATGAGATGAAAGTTCTCCATTTTTCTTGCAAAAGGCAAATACACTGAAAGCACCTGAAATAAAATATCCTATACCTTGGGAACACATAATTGAATCATCTCCAAACTCCTCTAATATCACCAGGCCTCCTCTATATTTTTGGTCAAAATCAGTCCAAAAGTATTGGAGTATCTGAACAATCAACATATATACTGCATGCATCGCCCTGGTCTATCCAATACTTCTGTGACGTAGAGGCAGGAAAAGTCACAGGGGAACACCAGGTGGTACGAAGAACAGAACAAAAATCAGGGGAAACCAGTCTGTGTTAGTTCTTCTCCACATTGAGAAACTTCAAGAAGACAAAAATTAATCCCTCTCTTCCTCATTTCTCACATGCTTAGCTTGATTCCAGATGCTGAGATGTTGGAGGCATTGGGGTAAGGCATCAGAACACTCCCTAGTCTTCTGTGTCCTAAACCAGCACAGATTAATCAGAAACAGTATTAGCTGCTTCAAAGAAGAAACACCATATTTACAGGAGGCTAATGCTGCAGAGAACAGCTTTATGACTCGTTTGCTGCTCTGGTAAGAGCAGCAGATGAGAAGCTAGAAGCTAGATCAGAGCTCAGGGCACACGAGGATTCTACCAACCTCTGCAGAAAAAGGCAATGGTGGGTAATGCTGATTAAATAGATAAATAAATAAAAACCCACACCAAGTTTGCAGGATAACCTATTCATAATACTAAAATAAAAATCCCTTAAATTAGCTGTTTCCTTATTCACCTACCCACAGCTGAACCCATGGCTGCATTTCCCTGACAATAGGTAATACCGATTCATACACTCAAAAGCCAGCAAGGACTATTATGCTGGGGTAATTTCCTTCGTAACACAGGACGTAGAACTTCAGTCAATAGTTCTGAAATCTCCCAAACCCAATATGACTAAAATACTAGCTTTTCCACTCTTACATTTACAGTGCAATCTGAAAATTATGATTCATTCATTTCCTTATTTATGTAAAGGTTAGCATTAGTTGAGAAACGCTATGTTAGTCAAAGGCTGTTTTAGTATTTTCTTGTTAAGTACTAATGTGTACTTAAAATCCATACAGCTGAAATAACTTGATGTATTCTACTTTTCCATAGTCCCCGTCATTTTTTTGGTGAATGCAATCTTCCTTTTTTATGTTTTTCCTCACAAAACAAGAATAATATGATCCATGCAATGAAGTCCTAATCTTACATGTAAGTACTTAAATACAACTATAACTAAAATTAAACAATTGTGATTCTGTAAACAAGTATTTGCAGATAAACAATTTATTGACTGGAACTCCACAAGGGCAAAAGCAGTGCAAAATGATTAGGCTGAGCTGTCAAATATACAAAGCTGGGAAACAGAAAAAAAAAGTAAGAAATTCTTGCTGTCTTCTATTAACACTGTCCTCTATTAACTATCACAACTACTACTGCCATTGAAGTATCACTTGAGGTTGAAGTTGCTTGATCTTAACTATTTTCTTAATTCCTCAGCAATGAAATGATAGGACTCGATGTTTTCTGTAAATCTAAAACATTTTACTAGATGTTACTTACATAACATTTTTTGGTTTTGGTCTCAAAAGCATGAAATGGACTACCATGTGCACATAAGTCCGTAAACTACAGCAGAATCTTCTGTGCATGTTCTGGAGTTGTGGAATCTATTACTAAAAAAAATCAAAGTATGTCTTTTTTATGATCACAGAACCTATTACCTGATGACTTGAGATGTGATTCAAAGACCACCTCTCTTTCTCTATTGAAAAAGTTCAGTAATACAAGTTTTAATTTGCACATGTGCAAAAGTGGTAGATATCAAATAACCAATTAATGAGAAAGATGCAAGCCATTTTACTATTAATTTCAATTTATGCTCATCAGTTTTTGAACAGACCTACTGTATCACATAAGAACCTCTCATCATTTTCTTAAGTTAGTGTCATAAATTCACTGAAGGATACGATCATTTCCTTTGAACAGAGGCCTCCCCGTTATCATCTCAGCCATTATACAGCCCACAGACCAGATGTCAACTGAAAAAAGACCAATAGTCACATTAAATTGCTGAATGCTTGTCCATTTAAATATACATAAAGTTTAATTTAAAGCATATTTTAAAGAAGTGTAAAATTTGCCTTTATAGCCTGTTACAAAATAAATGAGTGCCTTGCCAAGTATGATGAACAGTATAGGTAAAACTACCAGCCTTTCCAATTAGCAAACTGGAGATAATCTGATAACACGCAGAATCAGTTTCTCAGTAACACGCAGATGCATGTGGAAAGTAAATTTTCAATGCTTTCAAAAACTTCCACAGTTATCCTAGCATTACTTGAATTCCCTCCTTCTGCCATTTTGCCTCATCTGTTCGAGTTACAATCAGCCCATCTTTGCAGGAAGATGACAGTCAGTGCAGAACACAAGAACATAGACCAGACTGTCACATCTGTATACATTTATATCACTTTTTTCCAACCACCTTGGCACTTTCTGTTACTCTCAGAAAATACACAAAAAAGCCCCCAAACTCACAACCACCAAACAATTACCTGCTATTTATCTACAAGGAAGTTTTGCATAATTATATTGCCATTTCCACCTCCAATTTCTCATTCACTTCAGAAACAAAGACTTGCTTATACATTGCCTGATTCAGTGAATGCTCCAGCTCTGCTAAGACTTTTCTGAAGAGATGCTGACCTGTTTGTGTATAATGCATCCAGTTAAGTATGACCTCTGGGGCTCTGTACCACCTTGTAACCACGTAACCGGTCATCTCGCTGTCTGTATGTCTCGCCAATCCAAAATCCAGAATCTGTAGGGGAAGCACAAAGAACATCCTGATCAGACAGCTAGTTATCTATTTTATACAGACTTTACAAATGTGGAACATAAAAAGAATCAGAGCATTCTGTAGAGACTGGCTTATTTTTGCATCTTTTTTCTCACTGAAGTGTCTTGTTCTCATTTCAAAAATCAAGACAGAAGTAGCAAGGAGCTTTACGATTTTTTTTTTCCCGTGTTAGATACTCCTATAGCAATACTAAAAGCTGTAAAACCAGTAAAGAAAATAATAAATTCTTCAATTATTAATTAAAAAGATATGGGTCCCAATCAATGCAAAAAATTCCCTGGCCATGGAATGACTATCATAGCTTGTTAGGGCTAAAAGAACAGCACCCATCTTAGATGGCATTCATTGCTCTCATATCCCAGGTGGCACAAGTATTCAGGAGTGTGTTCCAATAATATTCTTAAGTAAGGAGGAATCATTATCTTTGTTTTCTGAGTTTTCATAGAAGAGGAAATGTGACCTCTAGGTCACATTGATAATATACAACAAGAGTAGGGAATTATGATTATTTAGCCCCACTGAGTTTTCCCGAACCTACTGCGTCAACTACAGAACAACCCTCTGGAAGAAACACAAGGTCAATGCAATTTTTTTAAAGGATTGTGCACAATTCAGCTGGTTTCTAAGACTGTCAAATATTTATCTCTAGGTATAGCAATGTGTACAACAGCATGATTAAAAATGAATGTTACGGCCTTTCATCAACTTCTACAAAATTGGCTAACGTAAGGGCCCACCTGTATGGACCTTCAAAAGATGGTGCCAAAAGATGCGGCCAACAGCGAGAACACTCCTGGAACGACAGTCAGTTCATAGTTTATCAGGCAGTTCATGCTTCTAACAAGAAGTAGGGGTCTTGGGTAAGTAAGGTCTATTCAAGATAAATCATCATCATCCACAGATACTTGAATATGTAGCTTTGCATGAACAGCCACTAGTTTCCAGGTGTTATCAGGCTTCACATACATTGACAGGGCAGACATTTTTACTAGGAGCACCTGTGCATTAATATGCCAAGAGTGATGTTTTTGTAACGCTCTCTGTAATTAAAGATTTTAAAATATTTCAGGATAGTTTCATCATTCCCTGAAACTAGCAGAAAGGAAAATTATATTTTCATTCATAGATCAAGGGTATAAAATGTTACGGCTTATTTTTATTGCCATGCTTGAAACATCATTTCCACATCTTCCCCATAACTGCTGACTATGTACCAATTTAAGAACAGGAATAGGATGCCAAGGGAGAGATTTTTATTCTTACTAATAAAATACAATTGATTATGGCCGAAGTTACCCCTCAGAACTTTGGGTACTGAAGATTTACTGGATTCAAAACATTTGCAGTAACAAAATACACTTTTATATACAGCTTTCAAATTTATTCTACTCATAAACCACACATTATGTCTTCCCAGTAACACGGGAGTGGGGCGGAAGAAAAAAGGGAGTTTTACGTAATAGGTCAAAAGCCACATGTGGTACCATCTATTCTGTCACAGCTTTTTAGGCCTTTTCCATACTAAGGCCCGTGATACTTGGAGTTGGAGACAGCCAAAATATAATTTGGGTTTGTATTTTCGTAAAAGCAGAAAATGACAGCGAGAATTTTTGTGCATTATGTATTAACTTCAGGATTTCTTTTCATTTACATATTCATTAGGCTCAGGAACAAGTGCCTGCTGTTAGTACTTAACATTAACATGGTATAATTTCAAGAACAATCTTCACATGAAACTATTATTCTCACACTCGAACTTTTCAGCTGGAACTTCCAAAGCAATTTTCAGAGCAAGTTTGAAAATCCTTTTTATAATGCAGGAATTATGGAAGAGAGAGCAAAATCCCCTCAGCTTCTCAAGGATAAGCTCCCCTTCCACTCAGCAAACTCAATTTTCCTAACTTGCTTCAATAACCATAACAAAAATAACTTGTAACTTCAAGACTGCAGAAAGGGCAGTGATTTCCCCTCAGGCACCCTTCACTGTCACTTTTCTGATTCCTATGTAGCAGTTGAGAGCATCAGATGAGGGAGCCAGAAAGCTCATTGTGAAAAAGAAAACTGATTGCTTATTAATTAATTACCAATTCAAGGAACTGTTTCAACTTGCCTACAGCCTCATCGCCACCGGAGCTGATGGACGGGAAGCTGGCGAGTGCACAGACGTGGGAGGAAAGGGTTGGATTATCCCTGGCAGCATGGTCCTGTGCCCGCATAAACTGACTTTGCAAGTGCCGTCTCAGAGCAGGGTCACATCCTGCCCATTGCACCCCAACGCACGCATGCGGGGGAAGTCAGTTCAACTCCTTCAGTGTAAGAGAGATCCCAGTCAAATCCTTGCCTTGATTTTTTTATGCACACTTCTCAACATACTATAGTTTGCTTTCTGTTTATAGACCGGAGTTGCCTTTTGACAACCAGTATTTCCTAACTGCAGATTTGCACTTTTGTTCTGCATATGATATCAGAGCCTATCATACAACCAGGGACAGCATAATTTCACTCTGAAAGTCAAGAAATGAAAACTAAAGCTTAATGCTACATTTTCTCCCTGTCATTTCACAAAATTGTGTTCCGATATAGAATTATTTGCCTTATTATTTATCTAAAAGCTTAAAAATGCCCAAGGTAACCGAAAATTAAGTTGTGTTAAATAAGAAGATACAGTGGAGATACAGTGACCGTATCATGGAATAATGTCTTAGACCTGGGCTGCATCTCAAAATGTAGTTGCACAGCTGCAGGAGTGGGGGGACAAGAAGAGAAACATGTACAACTGCTTTTTCTAGATTCTCTTTTCTTCCTCATCACCCTGAGACCCACTCACCGTTTGGCCTCCTACAAGCCAGGAGGAGACAATGGCTTTTTGTGATAGATAGGGAAATTCTGAAATGACAGGACCCTCAACATTCAGATCAGTCTCCAAAGAGCAAAAAATTGTATTACAACAGCTATGTGCAACTATATAATTTGTATGTTATATGCTAAAAAAACATTTTTGTAGTGTTGCATCAACTTTTATTTTATTTAAGGGAGTGCTTCACAACCTTTGATCTTCTTCTGTATCTCCTGGCTTGTAGAGTTAGATTTTCTGTATTTATTCAAAGCTGAAATTCTCACATAACTGAACTACTCCCATAAAGTCTTATGTCTCTTTTAGGGAAGAAACCTTAGCCATAAGATCTAAATGTACTTACGTATCAGGACACAAAAGCCCCCATTCAGATTTACTGTTGTTTTATGAGGATGTATAGGCCAGTCATGGTTCAAGCACAGGACAGAAGACGTAGCTTGATTTTGTAATTAACTGAAAAAACCTGACTAGCCTTTCAGATTGCTAGAGCTAAGAGAAAATAGGTGACAAAAACAATTCTAAAAATTAATAATGTGCTATTAAAATACAAGAACAGAATTAACTGGGGACTGGAAGCAGTGTGGGGCTACTATCTCTACACTCAAGAGAATAAGCTATATTCCTAAAAGAAGCAGTGTTGAGTATTACATAATTCTACTTCACAATAAATGATTGGCTTCTTTACAACAAAGTCATTCTACACAGCCAAATAGATGCATTTTTGCTAGGTCAGGGTACACTGCGTAATTATTTCTGAAGTACAAATATTATCCACTCTTCCACAGACTTTGGAAGATTACCAATACATGTAAGAAACTGCTTATCAGAACTGGTCAGATTCAGTATTTCAGTTCAATGATTTAGAAGAAGGCTTGAGGTGACACAACATTGTGCAGGAGAAGATGGACTCTACTGAGAACACTTCCAAGGAAGTGGCAACATCTACATTTCAGGGCAGATACTTTCCACAACGGGTGCTACAGCCCCAATCTCCAAGAGTGCATGCCAGCTAAGCCCGGTTTCCATACTGGAAAGAGGTGTGGATGTGCACTGTCCCCCTACCCATCTTTCGAGGGAAGCCCCGATGGGTAGGATGAAGGGAGTCACGGTACACGCCAATACTTGCCCCACTCCAGAGAAGCAGCAACCAGGTAATACAAGAAATGCCATAAAGTGCAAATGTCTTGCAGTGTAGCAACAGAAACAGCTAATAGCTGAACTACAGGAGGCTGAATTAGGAATTGTCTCCCTTTAACGATTTTTTTCCCTCACTACTTCAGTTAAGAGCAAAAATCAAGCAGAACTGATATATTCCTGCTATGAAATACACTGTGGTCTACATGCAATTGATACTACTGCTAGTTGTAGCAGTGCAGAATGAATAACTTTCAAAGAAATAAGATGTTCTTGTTCATGGTGAGCAGTACGTGATTCCTCTCATGCTTCTCTGAAGTGATTAGCTGCAACATATCATAAAAACAGTTCTCCATTACAGCTCTTATCTGACTGTAACCATGACATGATTTTTTCTTGAAGAGTATTTTTAGTTGAGTGACTGCATAAAATATACCAGTATTCATTGCAACATACACATCACACAGGAGAAAGCTGACTGTTACCACCACGCACACACGCTTGGCATGGGCACATGTGGCGTGGACTGCTCTGTCAATGCCAAACCCGCAGAAGCAGTTTCAGTTCTTACGCTGCCCTTCACCCAGCTGGAGGGACCAAAGTCACCAACTGCTCCAACGATGCCAGGAATATAGTAACCCACGGCACTGACTTCCTCACCAGAAATCCTCCCCTACATCTTGGAGTCAACCCCCATTTCTCCCATTAGCACTGGGTACCAGCTTCCCGGAGTGTCCTATCTGGACTGGATGTTTTCAGCTGGGACATCCTGGGCAACGTTTCTAGCTTGAGGTGCAGCCACTTCTTGTGCTTGGCTCTAGAATGATCTCAGAAATTGATCATCGCCTCTGCCATTCGTATGAAATGCACATTTATGTCAGTCAAGGACATACAAATAGAAGGTGAATAGATTCTTACTATTCAGGACTTTATTGCTTAAATAAATATTTAATTATTCTTGTGGCGACCGAAGTCAGACAAATGGGAAAATACTTATAAGGAGCAGTGTCTTGTAATTTTTTTCAAGATTGTTACCATTGCCCATCTGATTCTCTTCCCTTCCATTTTCCAGCATTCCCGTTTCTCCATGACTCCTCAAAGCCCGTGGGCTGAAAGCCTGGTCCATCCCTGAAACCAGCCAGCACATCTACAGCTGTTGTGCCCGTTGTCTTCTGTGGTGTATTTCTAATACATCTAACTGTTTTTTCAAATAAATATATCCTACCTTCAATTCACAGTCTTCATTTACTGCCAAGTTTCCAGGCTTTAGATCCTGTAATCAGATTTGAAATGGATGTTATTTATTTATTTTACAGCAAGCACAATAAAGCACTCTCTCTCTCTCTCTCTTTCATTTAGGTTTAATGGTTTTCATACAACTACTTAGAACAGCAACAGGTAAAATGGTGTCATAGGTCTAAATTAGAAAATTAAATCTTACAAATAACAGAAACAAAGACACAAACTTGAATATGTTTGGCTTTTTTCCAGTATGTTTTCCCTGCAGACAAATCAACTTTTTTTTCCTGCTAGAAGTCAGAAAAATACTTGCCAGTGAAGGAACTGGCAAGTTCTGTGTGGGGGGGTTTGGATATAAATTTGTTGCATTTAATACTAACACCACAAAGTTAAGGATTCACATATATATTTCTGGACTGTACACACTGCACATCAAAATATACTTTAAAAAAGTTCCATACCCTGATAGACCTAGGAGTACTGAAAGAATCAAACAAGATTTTACATAAAAGCCTATGCTCTCTTCTGTGGGAAAATCAATTTCCTAACAAAGTCAATTGAACGGAGACTGTAACATGTAAAAAATTCCCTTAAGCCTCTTTAGCTCCTGCAGAGACTTCTAATGATCTTCAGAATTTGTACTTCTAAGTTTAGCAGCAAAGGGAAGAGTACTGGCAACGACTAAGAAGATTTTGCAACGTCAGTGACTCTTAGACATTCACAGTTATAAAGAGAAAGAAAAAAATCAGATATAAGTTTTCCTTCAGCTTTTGTAAACCTTTGTTTGCCACTTTAGCACACGACGTTTAGAGGAATCTTCTCTCTGAACTTTTTAACAGGCATCCAGCTGTTTTATATGAAAATGTTAAGATCAGAGGGGCCTTGGAGAGAAGCAAATTGGTGCAAAGAACCTTAACGAAACCAAGAAGCTCAAGAGCCATCAAGAGGGAGCTTAGAAAATTTAAGCAACTGTAAATTTAGACCACGATCACAGCAGTTGTAGAAATAAAAATATCAATTTCTTACATTATTCTGGCAGTTTACGTGGTTTCCATGTCCAGCTTAAAGCTACTATACAATGTGCACTTTCTGTGGTACTCCTGATATTTTATTACAAACAGCCAGTTTCTCCTGTTCTGATGAAGTTTTGGGGGAAGTTATGCTGCTTGATACCACAAGAGCGTCATTCAGAACTCCTTCACAGGGCAAAAGTGATTTTAAATAGACTTTAAACACAGCAGAGATTCAAAAAGAATCAGATGTTTAATTTCTCTCAGAAAAAAAAAAAATCGAGGTTTTCAAGCCTCTAAAATTTTGGACTGTTTTTTCAGTTTCTATGTTTTCATTCCCCCCCCCCCCCCATTTGACACATTAACATAATGTTTAAACAACATTTAAACATTGTTTTTAAAAGTTTAATCTTAATTTTAAGAAAAGCCAGAAAGAACTCTTATCCATCTCAGTTTAGACACTATTTGCTCTTGTGGGGACTTACAACTCAACTTCACAAAGTAATTTAAGAAATCCAAATCCAAGCTGTATTCAGTGCAACTTGGGTGCCCAACTTACACTGATGTAGCCGTACCACCTTTTGTTCCTATTGAACAAGAAACCAAAGGCAACATCAAACACTATTTATAGAGACACTATAAACAGAAGTTCAGGCATATTTATGAGCATGCTTATACACAAACACCGCTTACATTATCAGAATATAAACATCTTTTATATTGTTTCCACTTACCCTGTGAATTATGCCTGATGAGTGAATATACTGTAAAAAGAGAAAGTATTTTTTAGTTAATAAGGTCCTGACTTTAAGAAGTTGCCCAGGGCAGGGGAGAAAGTACTTTTTCATGGTGCTAAAGTAATCTGAAATTAGAAAATGTTTATTTATTCCACAGAAGATCCTTTTAACTATGTTTTTAACAGTCAGATAATTACACTAGCATTTTGCCCTTCCCTTCCCCCAGTAATGAGAAACCAGTAAATCAGTTGGAGTACTGCAACAGATCATACCGTTTTTTCTAATTCTTCCCATACATAAAATCCTGTTTCCAGTTAATTTTTGGCATTGCTATATTTACGTATCAAAATAAATCCTGCTATTTTATATATCAGAAATGCTCTCTTGCAATAGATGTCTCCCGTGTGCCATCATAGTTTAGATTCGTATGCTGCAGCAGTATTGAGTTTTTAGAAATCATTTGAGACCAGGATGGAGGCCAGTCAAGCTCTTAGCTGAGAAGTCTTGCTACATGCTTCAATACTTCCTCAATGAAACATTGAGAAGTCATGTTACAAGACACCCTCCTTTACCCAAACATTTTCATCACCCTTCCAGTGACCTATTTAAGGGCTCTCAGAAGTGAAACCAACAAACTGGACACCTAGGACTAGTTCTTTTAGGAAGACACCTGACCAAATACAGATGTCTGTCACCAATCGCTCCCTGCTGAGGTATGCAGTCCCTCTCACCAGCTGAATGATGCCCTAGAAGAGACTATTTTCATCACAATAAAGAGAGCCTCTAGTCACTAGTTCAGACACAGGTATCTCTTTTGCAAGGATTGAAATGCAGAAAGTTGACTTGAACTGAGGACATGCTTTCCAAGAGCGGGCTGGGACATGCTACTGTTGTTCATTTCAGGTGTGGGGAACTGATCCAAAAACCCCACAGACCATACTACTGATGGCAGCTCATACTACTGACACTAAGCAGCACAAGAACAAGAAAGGCTTTTTAAAACGTCCCCAGAAAAGATGGATGAGATGCGAATCCCACCAGCTTCACCTGGAGAGTTTTCATTTTATTCCACCCTGAAGAATGGGACAATAACTGGGAAAAGTTAGTGGAAACCAGCTGTCAGAGCCAGGAAAGATCAACCAGGGACAGTCAGGGTGGTCTCACGGAGATACACCGAAGCACTGAACTTTGCAGGGTAACTGCCAACCAGCCATAGCCCCAGCAACCGTTGTCTTCTTCCCCAGCAGCCATGAAGATGAGCAATTAACCTTGTGAATGCAACAGTCCCTCTGCAAAGGGATCCTCATAGTCCACCTGATGAGAGGACCAGAGAAAAGAAAGCAAAGCTACAGGTCAAAGCTAACTTCTTCAGACAGATCCAACGTGCGTTTCAGACTTAGGTTTCTGAACTTAAACAAAACCCATACAACCTAAGCAGCACAAGACCTGGATTTAAAGCACCAAGTTTTTAAAGCAGTGACTGAACAAAAATAAAATCTCTGACATTTTCCTCTCTTACACCTGACACAGTGCTCCAGATGTGGTCATGCAGGTTCTGAAAAGAGGAAAAAAACCCCGTGGCTACAACTTCACCAATCCAGCCCAGATGATGATAGGGCTTCGCTGCCACACAGGTGCACCGCTGACTGCTGTACCCAAGTCCATGCAGGACTTGGCATTTGCGGTAGACCAATTCCTCCTGCATATTACTTGCAGATGAGGTAAGGTTTAACATCACCCATAGGAATTGCCAAAGCGCTTCACAGGATTTCCTGGGGCAGACACAAGGGGCTGAGGGCGCAGGGCTGTTCCCCAGAACGTAGGCTGTAAAACCGCTATAGCAAATGAAGAACTGCGAAACGTCGTTTCTGTCATGGATGTGCATGAAGTAGATCAGGATGGGAGGAACCAGATGCAAAAAGAGGAAGTTTGTCATTTGTACGCAGAGACCAGAGAGAATATATACTTTTTTTTTACAGAAATGTATTTGTAAGTAGTTAAGACTCCCAACAAATGAGGAAAAAGCTGACGACTTCTGCCAATAGCCATCTTGATCAAGGATAGCACAATGACTACTTGCATTCTAACTCATTTCAATGTCTTCTAACTGAAGCCTCTTGATTTTCCAGAGCAGATGCTTAAAATATTCTATAGGCTATTTTTGCTGGTATGACTGTAGACAGTAAAGAAATAACTGGCAGACCCAGGAATTTCTGCACCTAAGAACGTGGCATGTAGAAACAGGAATTAAAAGGACTGCACCCTTCGGATTTTTAGTTAAAGTGAACCTCTTTGGGGGGAAGAGCATGGTTTCACTGACGTTATCACCCCACCAAAGGTTTTCTGAGTGTTCAAAGCACCAAAATAATGTTAACGCTTTGGGGAGAACTCCTATATTTTCTAAACACTCTTCTTAATACAACACTACTGAGATTACATGAAATAGCACTTATTCCTGGTGCTAATGTACACATCAGCCTTTCTGTAAGCTGAAATACTGGTGCTGTGCTGCAGTGTTTCTTTAACAATAGCAGTATTTTTTTAACTGCATTTTATTATCTCCTGGCAGGTAGCAGCACTGGAACTACGCCAGTCTTCGTTCAGAAAATTTTCCATTTCAGTTCAATAACCTTCTGAAATAGGATCCTATTCTTACTGATTCCCCTCATTAAATTATCCATTTATTGACAGATTTTTCACTCTTAACATGGCAAAAACATCCAGACCAGAGCAGACATATCCTTCACAATGTTATTACCACTTCACCCAAACAATATGTCATTCAAGAACCCAGTTAACGTGAGCAAAGTGCCTTAGAGCACAGGAGCTCTGTGCATTATCCTAAAGACAATTTTTGGTAGCATGCATAAATCCTTGAATGCGAGCTTCAGATTGTGCTAGGAAGCTATCCAACAGTTGTCTAAATTATAAGAATTCTTGTCTGTATATGCAATCTCTACACAAAATAAAAAGCTAATCAAAAGGGAATCAGAAAAGACTCAGGAGAAAGTATTCTAGACAGCATGCAGAATGAAAATGAGGAGTGACTTGGCAGGGAAGGAAAAACTGAAGAGGAAATGGGTGAGAGGGGGAAGGGAAAGCAGAAAAGCAGAAAGAACAACATAAACGTGAACAAAAGACAGTAAATAGACGTGACAAAAGGATAGAAATAGAGCAGGTAAATATTACCATGAGTATGGCAAAAGAAGCTTGAACAGGTGTTTTTATGGCCCAAGAGCTATCCGTCCATTCTCAAATACTGTACAAATAAAGAAACGGGACTGCTGCCCACCTCCCCAGACCTCTACGAACAGGAACCCGACTGGCACTCCTGCAGAAGAGGGACCCAAGACTGAAAGCGCTGGAAGCTCCAGCCCCTTTCCACCTACATAAAGACATTTATGTTCAGCTTGCCTTCTGTACTCTTTGACAATACACAGCTTTTCTGCCAAACAAAAAAAGATGAAAGCCCTTCCAAGTTGCAAGTGCATACTTAAATAAAATTTAATGCCAGGCTAAGGCCCGACTAGGAAACAGACAAAGGAGAGGCACATCACTGATTTTAAGCGGTGTCAAATCGCATTGTTTTTTCTTACCACAGATGAAGTTAAATTCTGATAAATTACAAGGCTCACCAAAGAAAGGAAATGAATATTTCATTCTCTATAGAAAGAAGACAGTAAAATGGCAAGAACAGAAACTAACTGACAAACAAGGACTGTATAGACTTACAGAGCAAAGACCTGAGGCTTTATGCAAATCTTCCTGAACTCAGTATGAACTTTCTATTGACCTCAATTTATATATATTTTTTAAATCAAGCCTGTTGAGCATTTTGGTATACAACCAATCCAGAACCAGTTGACAGGTAGAATGTAGAAACGAAGCCTGCAAGGAACTGACTTGGAGGCTTAGCAAAAATCTCTTATCCCTTAACAATACATCACTCATGCAGTTTTTTCTACACGCATTTAACTGTCACATGTAAACAGATTGTTACAATAGAAGTATGCAATGTGACAAAAATTATGAACAGCCTTCTTGCCTTTGACCAGACATAAATACAGATACCATAAAGTGCTTATGTACTTTACACAAAGGACAAATGCATATTGCAGGTAACATCTTTAACACCAAATAACCCCCCAAAATAGAGTCCATCAAATTTAAAAGGTGCAAAAAATTAATATGCATTATAAAAATGAGAGGCTAAGCTTGGGAAGTTGAAAGAGTTTTACAACAAAGATCTGCAGATTCCTCCTTCCCAGGTGTTGAAAGTATTTTACCCTTATAATGCCTCAACTGAGTGCTAGCTAAGTGTATGCTTTGTTCCCCCCACCCTGCCAAAAAAGCAATCTAAGTAAACACAGATGGGCTGTCTTTAATCCAGATACAACAGACCTTAAAAAGTACAAAATTTTAATGCAAAACTTGGGAGACCCTTTCTTAAACAGCTAACTTACTGACATCCGTAAAAGAAGAAACAAATTACTGACCCATTTTCTTTTTTCTCTGCATGCTAGCAATACTGCTTTCAGCTTAACCCACTTCCTAGCACAGACAGTGCTGCAAGAATGTCCCTCAAGCACTGCACCACTCCTATTTCTTAAGGATATTTCCAACTAGGTGTATTATTGCGGCTGGATGAATTGGTTCAAGAAGAATCCAAAATTTAATGGAACGGATACAGTAAAGACTGTTCTCAAATGTTTGCCGTGCAATAGGAAATGACAAAACATCAAACTCTAGTAGCTGAATAAGGTCTTATTTCCTGCTTGCAATTTTGAGGTAAGTACATTTGTGCTCTTCAAAAATGTGGAGGAAGAGACAAAATATTCAGGTGAACCACTTCTTATAGAAGATCTAACACAGTTACAGAGACAAGAGATACCAATTTACTAAGCCTATCTCAGCATCCCTGCTGGTTGCCTTGTAACTGGAATGAGAACTGCCCTCGTTTTTACAAAATCCTGGAAATAGCAGCTTACATCAAGAACTTCCCGCTCTTTTCCTCTGTGGTGGGTTGA